GAGCAAAGGGGAGAGAATAGTCCAGAGTGAGTGAGCACAGCTGGAAAGGGCCACAGGCCCCCAACTGTTCTGTCCAAATCTGCAGCCACACGTGTGGAGGGGGACAGGTTACAAGTACCAAACGTAGAAAGTGAGAAACAATCTCTAAGCACCAGGAATGTAAGAGAATCACACAAAGGTGAAGCCACCTAATTCCTAGAAGAGACTGTCTGCTTCCAGACCCCTTCTTACTGTTACAGCACTCATCTTCTGCTTGGATTGGGAGGAATTAGCTTTGTTTATTCTTGAGTATCATTTTGGCTGCAGGCATGCCAGATATTCTGTGCAAGGGTAGGAAATGGCAGGCCTTGACCTACACATCTCTCAGTCTAACTGCATAATATAGAGGACAGGAGATGAAATATCTCACAGATTCACACAGCCAGGCAGCACTGCAGCTGGTCATGGAAGGCAGGGCTCTGGAGTTGCTTGCAAGTCCATATACTCCCAAATATGTCACCCTGCTCAGGCGTTCTGAAGCACGGCTCCATGTGATAGAGACAACACCGACAGAGAATGCGTTCTTGTGTCCAAGAGCAGAGCGGGTCACACCAATTTATAAAGAAAAACAACAGCAAACATGGCCCATTCACTGGATAAACAACTACTAGCAGAGAGCACCTGCCTTGGGGTTAGGTGGAGAAACTCCACAGAAATTTATAAACTTGGTTGAAATGTTTCTTTGTCATTCCTTCTCAGTAATGACAGGCAGAAGTGGCACTTGTCTTGTACAGCTAAAGCACAAAATCCCCTCGAATTCACAGTAAGATACAACAAGTTCTCATTACTGAGTTTTTACACACTTGCGTACCTATGTAGCAGCCCTCACTGGGGTTTTGTTGACAATCTCCAAGAGCCAGGCATGCAGCAATTTGGGTTGAGTGCAACAAGGAACATACAGAAGAAGGTATTCCCACTGTGCTATCATTATCCTATTAGTGAGTGACCTGCAATGGCTACACTTTTGCAAACCATTGTTCACTTAAAAGAATAAGAAAGAAAGAAAGAAGGAAAGAAACTGCTTCTCTGCAAGCAACGTTTAACCATAGACAAGAAGAGATTAATGAGCACCCTCTGTTAAAACCTGAGCAGGAATCACACATCACAGAAAACACTTAATCTCAAATTGGAGCCAGGAGAAATTTTATGTTTTAACAAAGACAAAAAGAGACAAGGAGTTAAACATCTTTTCAGTCTTACTGGGATGACTTCATTTCTACATAGATGAGTACAACCCACAGACCCCAGCACCTCCTCACTCCTACTCCAACATCTTTTAAACTCCACATTTTCACACAAGCATCTGCAGCCACCTCTCTTTAGTTATTAAGCTAAGAATATGTGTCAGCAAAACATTTTCTAACATTAGTCTTCAAGATTTGTTTGATACACATGAAGGCAGCTCTGGTTTTCAACTCTGCACTTCCAGGAAATCTGGCAGGAAAAATTTGTGTAGTGTTTTGTTTAACAGAAGATTGGAATGCATCGTGAAACCTACAGGACGGGCTGCCCTGATCTCTGAGATGCTTACGGGAGGTGGATGCAGCCCCCCAGGCCAGCTGGCTTTGTCAGCAGCAAATCTCAAATCCATGCCTACATGAATGGTTTCATAGCATGAATGAGATCATCATAGTGCAGCCCCATAACAACGTATGGGGCTGAGATATACACTACCTGGCTACAGCCCCTCTGCAGCCATCAGCAGCTGCAAGCAGCCCCTGCTGCAATCTGAGTGACACCAGCTGTGTCCCCATCTCACATTCTCTCCTCCTGGTGCAGATGGTGCCCTTTTACCTCCAGTACAGAGCATACTGATCCTTGTCAGCATCAGAGCACAGGTGGATTCCTCAAGGGCTACATGCCCAGAGGATTACCCAGTCTATATCTTGAATTCCTGACATTTCTGGAGGACAAGAGATAAGTCTTTTTAACTAGGAAAGCAGAAACATTTTTTTATTTTTCAGAGAGAAGTTAGATTTTACAAGCCTTCTCTCTAGCAATCATTCATTTGGATCTCAGCACCATCCTGTGTCACCATGATTTGTGACAAGCCTGTGAGTTATGCAAGTGAACGACCGTACTTCTGAGCCCAGAAAAAAAATCAGCTACAAAGCAGAAAAACCCTTGCAGCCTTAACAAAGAGCAAGCGTCTTTCCTCTGTGATGTAGATTAATGTAGTGGGTATAGAGAGAGATCAAAAAAATGGTAAAGGTATAGGGAAACTTCTATAGAAAGACATTGAAGAAACAGAAACTGTCTGTTTTACAAAGAAAATGAGTAAGAAGGATGTGCTGCAAGTGTATGAAGCATGAACAGGCTAGCAACGGTAAGTCCTTAATGCTTTCTCCTAGAAAAAAAAATACATTCACTGAAGTTGGTGCTCAGAATATGCAAAACCTTGGAAAAATACAATTTTTACACAGTGCACAGTGTGTGAAACTCAGCAGTACCTAACTCAGGAACTCAGTGGGACCCAGTGAGGGAGAGCAAGGAACATCCTGAGCACCCGACATGCAGCGCCAGGCAGGCTTCTGCCTTCCCCTGGAAAAGAAGCAGCACTGAATTCGTGCAGCTCCTGTGCTGAGCATACACCCAAGAGAAGCAGCCAAACCACACAGCCAACCTCCTGTCTGGTATGGTTCCTGTAGCAGGTTCTAGGATCTCTGAGCCAATAGCTCTGTTCGAGTTCTCCTATCATTCATCCCTGATGGTAGTGACTGCATTAATTCCTGCTTAACTTCAGCTTTTAGAAAAATCAACTAGATACAATTTGATTTTTGTGTCTGAAAGCTCCAAAGCTTCACACAGGCTATTCACAATGTGTTCTGTTCAATTAGATGAACCCTAGTTTAATATTATACTTCTGCTACTCATCATGTCAGGAAAAAAACGTGTTATTAACAACTGATGCTATTTGACACAAGTAATAGCTTTGGTAGTTGTCTGTCTTTGTCAGTGATGACAACTAGCAATTCCATCTCCACATTAATTATAACAGTGACTTCTCACAGAAGGCAAGCCAGTGAAGAATGTTTCCATAGGCACAGAACTGGTTCTGTAGCTGTTTTCCTGGTCTTTTAGGGGCAGGATAGAAACAGTTTTGAATGCAATCAGATCATCATATATATCACTAATCAGCTTAGCAACGTTTCAGTGGGTTACTGAAAATCCAGTATTTCGTGGGTTGAACATTTCACTTCCACAGACAAGTCTCTACAAGAGCTGTCACCACTGAATAGTGATGATGTCACACCAGATTATGCAGGTCTAGGCCTCCTGCCCCAGACTTCTTACTGGCTTCATACTTATTTACATCTCTCTGTGCCTGATACCTCACATTCTCACACAAGTTTTTTAATTCCTTGGAAACACGTGGGAGAAGACTCAACTCCTCGCTGTGGTGACTGCAAAAGGCCCCACAACACCTTCACAACATGGAGATGTTTAACACTGTAACATAAGGGGAAACACAACAAGTGACAGCAGAGTAGGAGAGTTCCAGGCTATAGTAAGCAACGATAAGCTCAACTGCAGCAACCACAAAGGCAGAAACACAAAGGAAAGAAAAGCTTCTTACCTTCAGAAGGTCTCAGGTGCACAGGGATCTCCAGTAAGATTCCCTCACCTCCACTGCCAACCCTGCAATGAGGTCTGGGAAGGGGTGGATCCTGGCTCCAGCCCTTCTGGTCATTCAGATGCAGTGCTTGCAGCTGACTCCCCTGGGTGGCCCTGCCTTCCCACCAGGTGCTCAATCACTGCTTCAAGCCATGACTTCGCATTTCCACTACAAGATGGTGCAGCTGAGGCCTCTTGGGCTGCCGTGAGTTGTATTGTAGTGAGGTGGAGGTCAGCCTCTTCTCCCAAGTAACAGTAATAGGACAAGTGGGATCTTAAGTTGCATCACGGGCGGTTCAGTTTGGATACCAAGAAAAACTTTTTCTCAGAGAGTTGTAAGGCACTGGAAGGCAGACTTTTTCAGGGAAATTTCCCAAATCCGCTCCCATCTTGAAGCTCTCAGTCACTGGCAGGGCTGTCAGATTTCTCTGCTCTTCAGCAAGAGAAAACATCTCTGGGCCCTGAGCCATCTCAGCACAGCTCTGAAGCTCCAGTTCTCACAGTATCCACGCCTGCCTCCTCGCTGCCAGCCTGATGCTGCCGGATGGCCATTCAAATGCTGGGCACGTGGGGGCTGGCGCTGGGGAGCGGGCTGTGGGTGGCCACCTGCTGTGACAGGTCACTTCACCTGCTCTACCCCAAAACGATGAACTCAGCTCTCCATTCAGTCCAGCTGCTGTCCAATTTTGGAGGCAGGGAAAGAGCTGCTTCTGCTGATTTTGTCTGCCTTGCCAAAGCGAATTTCATGCATGAAAATGTGAGATAGGTTTCTCTCCAGCACTTAGGGATAATCAGCCAAGACTGATTAAATGAAAGTATGAAAAATAAAACCACTCAGGGATTGCTATCTTTTGAAGGCAATGCATTCAGTTATCAGGTGTGCTTTGATGACGCTGTTCCAGCAGTGCGTGTCTTATTTCTTCTGGTGCTCAGATCATTCATAGGATAACCCAAACTGCTCCTTCTTACTGACAGTGCCACCACACATGAGAAAATGTGAATGTAAAAATCTGAAAAGTAAAATGTGTGACATTGCCCAGCAGTGATAAATAGTATGGAACAGCTCCAACACCCTGCTCATGTTACATCCATCAGGCTGACACAAACCAGGGCTCATGCTCTAGACTAATTATTTTTGCACAGTTAGACATACCATCTCTATTCCTGGTATCTAACTTATCTCTTATGTATACATAAGCTCAGTAGAGTCCTTATAAACAAATTTGGAATGCATTAATAATAGATCTATGGGATATGGTGCATACTTGCATGCTTGCCCAAAGTCCAGAAAAAAATTACTAGTTTTACATAAGTAGTTTTTTTCTTTTTTTCCCTTTATCCTTTGTGAAATATAGTGCCTCATGAAAGCTAGCAATTATCCCAATTTTCTGATTCTTTCTCAGTTATCCAGCCCTCAGTGTGTATGCCTACAACACATGTGATGTTGGTGGAGCCCTTCTGGCAGCACCGCATGGCATTTACTGCTCAGAAACCTGGCAGTGACTCTACACATTCTTTTCTCATGTCTTATGTTGAAGATGTACAAGTTGCTTTGCACTGTGTAACCTAATGATGATGACTTTACTGCCAAGGTAAACTTTTACATTGTGATATTAAAGGTTAAACCTTGATTATGGTGTGACAGCAGTCTGGATCTTCTTTTCTGTACACTTCATTTTGTAAATTATCTATTTACTTTCTTATCAAGACACGAAAATAGACTGTAAATTCTCCTGCCATCCTTCTGAAGAATTATTACTCTGATCCCTCTCTAGTCTTGCAAAGTCTATGAGATTTCAGCATTCGCTTGCCAATATTATCATGCATTTTCAGTCTTCTTTTAACATCCATTGCTAGATGATCAGGAACAATGTTAAATTAGGTCTTAAACTATCAAATTCGGCTTTCTTGGAATGAGTTTAAAATGGACTCATCTGTGAATATGAGCAGTTGTGCAGATGCTGTTTATTTGAAGTTGGAGGGCAGCACTTTCTGTCCTCGATGGACTGCTCTGATAGTGGGTCCAACTCAGTATCTGATTTCCATAAGACACCTCATTAGAAGTCCGTGCAGTAACACCTATAACTTGTTGAGCTGAGCACAGCACTTTATGAGGCTGCCTCTGAAGCTGTGAATGTACTGGTATCACTTTCACAGAGGTGTGTTGACAGGTACAGCTGACACAGTGACCCCAAAATCTTTCTGCAGCATTTGTGGCAAGAGCCTCTCTTTCCAACCCAGCTGGCACCAAGAGTCCCTCATCCCACATGGTCCCATTGCTGCATCTAGAATCACATCTGCAGCTCAGTATCATCGCTGCCAAAGGGGCTTGGCTGTGAGCTCCAGGGCATGCAGGGCAGGGCAGGGACTGTGTGGGCAGATAATAGCAAGTTTATTGTCATCACATTCCTCTAATGCATGTGCTCATTCAGAGAGTTATACAAAAAGCTCTTTGTGCTTGCAGATGCATTGCTTCCATTTGTTTTCACAGAGAAGAAAATGATACCTGTGTGAGGCAGCCCACAGCCATTTCCCTGCTACAGTCACCACTAAGAAATATTTCTTAGATGGACACAGCCCTCAAAAGCAGCTGTGCATGAATACAGCACCTGCAAGGCATCAGACACGAAGAGTTTTATTGTTGGTTTTGTCTGTCTGTCAAGAAGCAACTCCAAAATCTAGATGGAGATAACAGCAATTGGTCGTAACGATAACATCAGGAGCCTCAGCCCAGGGTGAGGTCCCTCATGCTAGAATCCAATAAGATACATAGTGAGAAGAAGTTCTGTCTCCAACGTGCTCCTGGCCGTGATCTGATTGAGCTTGCCAGCCTGCTGGGAAGCCACCAGCTCCTGCAAATGACTGAGGTGCCAAAGGGGCACTTAATGGGAGAAAAAGTTGAAGAACACCAAATAAATGATTTGCATCAGTGTTTATGGTAGAGGAGCTCAGGGAGGCTTCTACAGCAGTTATTTTATACAGGGGCTAAGCAGAACCTGCTCATACTCATTGGATGAGGTGCTACGAGATAGGTTTAGTAGCTTAGCGGGTAGTAATAGTGATAGGAGGATGGTTGGACTAAGTGACCTTGTAGGTTCTTTCCAACCTTCTGATTCTGTGATTCAGATGCAGGAGAACTCTTAGAACAAATAAATGACAATAGCAGTAACAAACCAGCACAACCAGCCTTCACACATATTTATACATTACATATTTACATAACGTATATAAACATGCTGCTGTTGAACTAAGCATTTTGGGATATAGCCTGCTTCTTAAGTTGGTCTTGATGCCAGAACTGCAAAGGGGATCTATGGTGCCATTTCCAAAGCTAGAAGTCCAGAAGTTATATAAGAAAATACGAACCAGTGTTTGTTGCCCATGCCATTAGACATGAATTGTACAGAGAAGAGGAATTGCCATGGTTTCTGCAGAGAGCTGTGGCTCCATTACCTGTGGTAAATCATTGAAACAATCCTCTTCCCAGGGGCTGCTCAAAGGTTGTCAGCCCTGAGCACCTTGATCCAAGCTGGTCTGCCCTTGGCAGGGAACTGGACAAGACAGCAAATAGGACTGCAACTCCATAGTCACAAGTGACAAGAAAAATGCACTAACCTACTCTGTAACTGAACTGCAATATTCATTGCCACAGGACACCATTCTAATCAAAAGTAGTAATGATTTTAAAAATACAAGCATATTAATTGAGAAAAGATCTGTTGATGGCAAAAGACACAGTGAATTGGGTTCAACTTCTAGCATCAGAGATCTCCACAATGTAACTGCATATACTGCAGAAAGCTCAGTCTTGTGCCCCCCCATCTGCTAAGCACACTCTGGACTCCAGCTGTATGTTACCGGGAGGATTATGGTATTACATAAGCTTTTATTTTGACCAGCGTGGCTGTTCTCAGGCATAAGGAAGCAAGTGGTGTATGTAATGTTGTGCAGGGGGAAAAAGGCAGCAGCAAAACCAATGTGAATCATTGCTTTTGGAAACTAATTGTCATCAATTAGCCTTTCACCTTTGGCTGACAAAAACTACCTCTTGAATATTCATTTCAATTAACTTGCCTTGACCAGGCTGTCACTCTGGGATTTGTTTCCCCTGGATGCTAGCTGGCACAGGATAGTTATTGTGGCATGGAGGGCCACAAATGGGGCTGCCAAAGCAGTATGCCTAGCTATTTGTGAACAAGCAGCTTTGGATTTGTGCACTCAAGTGTTTATGTCAGGAGCATGGAGAAGTAAGCTGGTGCAGTGTGGCTTTGTCAAACAGGCTCAGAAACAGCCTGACTTACAGAGAGTTGTTAGTGGCCCAACAGGGACTGAAAACAGAAGGCTGTGAATGTTATTTGATGTTTAAAACAAACAAAATGAAAGAATACATGAAAATATACAGTCAAGGGAAAAGAGAATAAACAAATAAATCCTCATTGACTGCAAATCATTTGCTCATTTCTTCCCAGCAGGATGAGTTTGTCTTTCTCAAAACCCAACAAATGTTTTGGAAAGCAAGAGGCTGTCCAACATCCACACGTTATGTCATGCAGCCACTCCTTCACACTGTCATCAGCATCCCCATGAAGTCCACGAGCAGGCTCAGCTGTGGGGCCAGGAAAGCTGGCACATGTGGAAGGATATGCTCGTGGAGCTGAGATGTGGCAGCTGAATGGCATTGCAAACCAGGTGCTTCAGATACTCAGCAGTGATGTTTTTCCTTCTCTACACCAGCCTACCCTATTGTGTCACATTGCTCCAGTCTGAATAAACCATAGATCCCAGCCATTGCCTTTTCAAAAATCAAAGCTCAGGGAGCCCTGGCAGTGTATAAAGCGCTCCTCACCCCTACCCCAGTGGTAATACTTAGGCCTGACTGCCCTGCACAACTTCCAGTGATTGCAGCACCCAATCACTGGAAACCAACATATCTATTCAGGGCACATTCTGTTCCTCCACAAATCATCCACACATTTCCTTCCTTTCATAAATGCTGTGATAACAGCTGAAAAGTGAGAGAAAAATAAAGCTGTGTGATATATGTGAAATGCAAAATGGTTGCTCTGTTCTGGCACCATTTGTGTACTCGTTTCTCCCCATCAGCCACAAGAAGGAGGGTCATAAGTAGAACAAGGAAGGGACTGTGAGGGAAGGCAATGTTTTTCATTGGGTTAACTGGTACAGTTAGTCTCACTGTGACAGAAGACTCTTTTAGCCATATTTATATTGAAAACTCATCCTTAGAAAATAAAGCTCAGAAAGTCAAAAATAATTGAAGAACAGAGGTACACAGAATAACGGAGATGCTTCCTGCCTTCCTGAATCCCAGCACAGGAATATAGTGCCCTGTTACCAGCACACAAGCAGAAGGCAACATCAACATTGTCCCTTACCTTTCTGAAGATTTATCAGTTGTAGTGGCACCTGTTCCAAGAACATTCCTACATATTGTATCAATAGAGCCAACTCTAAAACCCCTCAGGGATTAAAACTCATACTGAGATATAAAAGAAATCTGTGCTGTCAGACCTCAAACACATGACATAATAATCATTAGAGATCATACCACGTGTTCTTTAGTTTAAAGAAAATAGCCCCCAGCCTCTTTGGCTCTGCTCAAGACTGCAGGGTTTGATCAAGCAAGAATGGTGGCAGCCCCTGTGGAGGAGTTAACATGCTGAGAAAGCCCCATCCTACAGGATAAAGCACCACCAAAGGCTCATTTTAATGTTGCAGAGTTGAATAAGCCTGCAAACAAAAAATATATCATTATCTGGCACATGTTGTAATTCTTGTTCAAGCATTTTACATAATTTGCAGCTACTTTCAACTTCTCTGTTCCCCATGTGGCATTGTTCGACCAAGGGGAGATAGTAAGCTATCTATTCTTGGAACATTTTCCATTGCTTATTGTCATGTGGCTTCAGGCCAGACCCTAAAGGAGAAAAAAAACACATACATAACATCAGGAGTATGAATAGGACTGCCTAGTGGAAATCAGTGCAGCTTTAAGGAGTGGTTAGGTAAACACTTCATTACCTCTCTCACCTACAGTTAGGGGTAAGAAGGAGCCTCCAGGTGATGCCAGATGAGTCAAAGATCAGTCTCGTTAGATACAGCGTGAGCACAGGTTCACCATTTGTCATTTAAAAATGATGAAGGAAGAGCAAGGAAATACATAAGAAACGTCTTTACCTTACCTGCATGTAGTCAGATGCATCTTTGAGACAGCAACATCTCAATACTGCCAATTAAGATCACTTGGGACTCATTAGATGATACAAACCTCTGCTTTGCAATTTCACAAGTGTTTGTAGCTACTGAGAGTGGCCCTCTGCCTCCATTTAGGGGCACATAGGGCTCAGGTGTGCCTCTGCTCTGCTGTGAGCAGACAGACCCCTCAGCTGGCATGAAAAAGCTCCTGCATCTTTAAAGGCAGATTTCCCTGGCTCAGTAGGTAAAAAACACAGGGGGATACCTGACATACAGAACGCTGTGGACATTTTTCATATGTTAAAGGTGTAGAAAGAAGTGATTCACTTGAAGCAATTTGTTATTTTGGTGCTCACTAAAGAACAGAGTGACTTTTCTCTCCTACAAGTGAAATCAAACCCAAAGCATTAGTATTCATGCTAAACCATGGAAATGTTTGTTTAAAAGTAAATAAAAGCATCAGTGACTAATTCCAGTCACAACCACCTCACAGCATCATCCATTTTTCTCAGAGTAATTCAACAGTGCCTTAGGTGTACATGCAATAAATACTAATTAAACCATGCTGGGGGCAATGAGCATACCTCACCTCGTGTGCAGACACAGTGCTTCAGAGAGGATACCAAAACATTATTAGAGTGTGTACAATTAACAAACACACGATTAGAAGAGTAGTGTGGTCAGGATGGTATTTAACAGGTTCACAGTTAGAAACAAATACCATTTTGTTACCAAATTTCCATTATGGTGGAAAGAGTAAATAAAAAATGAAATACTCACCCACATCCAAGGCTCTCAGTAGAAAACACCAAAAGGAGAGATCTCCAGAAAGAGACCCTTCCTAGGTGGTAGTCAGCCTTAAATGGGATCTAGGAAAGGTGAGGACAGGCTCCACCCCTCTCAGTCACACAGGTGAATTGCCTTCACCTGTGCTCCTAGAGCTGCTCAGCCTTTGCCTCAGGTGCTCAATCAGTGGTTCAGGCTGTGACTCAACAGTTTCCATACAGAATGTTACAATTTTTCTGCAGTAAAAAAAAGTGGATGCACTTGGGAGGACACAAATGCCTCATAATAAGACAGATTTGATGCAATATCCACATCTCCCTTGCAACATGGCTCAGGCTGATGTTCTGGAAAAAGTCGTGTCTCCAAACTGTAGGAAATCAGCTTTGGGTATTTGTTTCACAGCCTGCAAATACTCTGGAGTCTTGCACGAAGTGTTAATTACATGAAGGTAGGGTTTATTTGCATCCCAGATGCTGTGGCATGTTCATTTCACAGAGAGAACAGAAGAATTTCTCAGGCTGCCACTCAGCGAAACATCTCAGACCAAGGTGATTCCCTGTGTGGCAGTGCCAAAGACTGATGCTCGGGCTGGGCTTCTCCAGGCACAGTGCCAGGACATGTCCTGTGGAGCACCACTGTGCTGTTTGAGTGGTGTAAATGTGGACAGATAAACTCACTTGCTGAGTCTGTGTGAGAGATCTGTTAACTCTGTAGGCAGATAATCTCCTTATGCTGCCTGCCTCAGCTGCACGCAGCTTTACTGCAAGGGAAGCAGCCTTCTCTGCATTGCAGGATGCAATTACAGCGAGGCTGTCCCCACACTGACAGTTCCGAGGCAGTGCTGGAGCCACCGATGCAAGCAGAGCTGCCTGCAGCACCGTGCCCCCATTTCAGCCAGGTGGGACAGACAGACTCCTTCACGCTGTCTTGCTGTCAGGGAGTCTACGTCTGGTAGCAGCTGCAAAATGGATGTTCCCTCAGAGGGTGTTTTCTTGCTTTGTTTGTCTTTCCTATCCATTTCTTTAAAAAGCTGCCATGCAATTTGCCATCCTGCAGCAACAGGACTCGTCCTGCAGCAGCCCTCTGCAAGTGCAGGGCAGCAGGGAAGGAGGGACACAAGCAGGAGTGTGGTAGTATCGGTATTTTGAACTTCTGCCCCAGCCTCCAGGTTTCAGCCACTCTTAGAGCAAAGGTTGCTCATAATTTTCTTTCTGAAGCACCGTCTCTTTCTGTTGTTTTATTGTATTACGTGGGTGTGATTAATTCCCTCCCCCATGGCTACTGTTGTGAACTGTTTACAATCTCCCAACAAGTGTCTCCCCTAACCCCTCAAAATCACTCCAAGATGCACGACTCAGATTTCACAGGTCTGGCTTCTTCTTATTCTCACGTCTCTCCTCAGTCCTTGTTGCCTAGGCATTTTTCTCTTTGCCCTTCTCAGCATTTTTTAATTTAATTTGTGGTGCATTTTTGTGAAGACAAAAATAGAGGAGCAGGATCACGGAGCAGTCTTGCCTGCAGCAGCCCCACCCCACTCGCCATACTGGGCTATGCTCTGCAGGCATGGAGTGCTTCCTCCAGCTGCAATATGCACTTAACTCCAGAAGAATATCTGGTTTGAACCCTTTGCATTGTAGGGCTATGCGAGGCAAAGTAAACCTGACTTCAACATCTGTGTTAGTTATTCTCAATGCTTAGCTTTCAGATTCCACCTACTGGAGGAATTGCATTAGCTCTAGGCTTGGGTGTGGGTTTTTTTCCTTCTTATTTATTCTGTGTAATAATACAAAAACAGTGATTTTAAAGGAGTATTCAAAAATCCCATTTCAACTAACATTCTACATTTGAAACTTGGCTCGAGACAGATTGAGACGATCGTGGAGAAGGACTGAAGGCAGGCTCAACATGGAGGTAAATTCTCTATCAGTAAGCCATGACAGGTGAATAAACACTGAAGTAATATAAATTATCAAAAGAAGAGAGGATGATAATCATAGCTGTCACTGCTATCAATTTCATATCAAAGAAGCACTGTTCCCTGGAGAGACAGAACAGCCTTAAAGTAATAAAAGAACAGTATGAAAGTACTACTTGCTAAGCTGGGTGATGCAGTCAACGAGTCTGCTAAGAGCCTTCTGCAATGAAGTCCAGCAGTGTCCCCAGGGCAATGGGTAAGAGATCCCAGTGTATCCCTTGAAAGGAAAGGGGCTTTGTGAGATTCACAGAGACAACAAAAGGAGAGGCAATGTTGAGTTTTGCTTTCTCCCTTTCTGGCTCTGGGTGACATTAGCTGTCCCAAAGCCAGGAAGCTGGAGAGATCTCTTGGTGCAGGGATGAGTTGCAGCTTGTGGTTCAAATGCCTTTTTGCCTTTGGCCACATTTCTCAAACCAAAGAGGGACAAAATGCTCCTGTTTCCAAGCGTCCTGTTCGTTATCTGCATCAGGATTTGGATGCGCTTGTTATCATCTGCAACCCTTCAGACATGCTGTGTTTCTGTACAGGGTTTTGACCCACTCAGCTTGGTGGTCTTTGTCTAATGGCAGACTTTGGCTTTATGTCATATGGAACAAACACATTAACAGAAAATGATCACACTTATTGAAGAGATGCCTGAAATGATGCCCCACACAAATTACCAGTCAGGATTGACAGTAATGACAGAACAAGAGAAAAAGGGCTGAAGTCAGCTTTCTCCAAATCAAATTTGGATTCACATGCAATTGCTGAAGCAAATCCTATGCACATCTAGCTGTACTCATTCAAAAGAGTGAGGGTGTGGCAAACATTCTGTATGCAGGCCTACAGCAATAGCATCAGTTAGCTAGTCCTGATCGGTTCTTTAACTAAAAGATTGTTACTCAGTAGATCTTGCAATAGTAACAGCTGCTAAGGGAAGACCTTTTCCTGAGAAAAATGAAAAAAATCAAAGATCGTTTTTTAAAAAAAGAAAAAGGAAGTGTCAGGGAGAAGAACTGGCCAGCTAGTAACATGATTCAGAAGTATCGAATGCAATATACAATAGGAAGCCAAGAAAATGAGACTGATTTGCCAAAGATGCTCTCACCACTATGAGGTCAGGGCCCTGATGTGCCAGTTTCCAGACACCACAACATCCTTCCTGCAGGCATGAAGAAGGATAGTGGCTGGTCATTAACCAGGCTAAAGACCTGTGAGGAGTCCAGCCTCAGCTCCTGCTGGGCTATTATCTCCAATTAATTTAAATACCCTGTGACATTACTTCTCCTCATGAAGAAAGAGTCTCTAAAAGCTGTTAAAAACCTCAAGGCTGTGTAGTAGAACTTATAGCTTTGATAAGTGGAGACAAGAGGAGGGTCGTTTGTCCAAATTAAATAGGCAGATGCAGAAGTATACTTGCTGATTGAATCCAGAAAGGAAATCTTTGCCCTCGAGACAAAGCCAATTAGTGTGACTCGTGACTGCATGTCCCACAAAAGGCATTTTGTGGGAGGAAGAAGAAAAAGTCCTTATTAAATTTTGAGAAGGTGATGTATTTCTTGTCCTTCATTCCATACAGTGGGCAGAATCTTTCTCTAGTGATCGTAACGGCCTGTGCCTCCTGTTTTTTTTTTGTCCAACATGCAAGACTGCAGCTCCTCTGCTTTTCAATCTCTAACTCAGCACAGGACCCACCAAAACTTGCTGATCTCCACAGCAAAATCTTGAGAATATGTGGCATTTTTCCAGGGACTGAATGCTAGATCTGACTCATATTGCCTATTTTGTTTATATACTCACCATATTTGCTACCCACTTGTGCATCAGCATAGCTCATGTCACCAAGTTAGAAAATGAGACAGACTTGTCAGAGACCAAATACAATCCTTAGTTTGACTCAGCGGTGTTTACGTAGTGCTATCCAGATATAATGTGCTGCTACAGGTTGAATGACACCTAAAAGGGCAGCTTGTCAGAGCTTCCCAGTATTTACCTGCCCCCAGAAAAAAGCCCAGCATGCTGAAATTAATTGGCATCCTCTGATAGCTTCAGAAATAATAGAAATCAATACACATGATTTGCAATTGAAACCTCTCTGAAAAGACTAGCTGGCTTCTCCCAGTGGTAGGAGTGACTCCCACAGTGGGTGTTCCTCTCTCTCCCCAGACTCTTGCTCACAGCTGCACATAGAATGCAAGATGATCCTGATTTCAGACTTGTATGTGTGCAAAAGCTTGATTCATCTGTACTCCTGGCTCCAATGCTGACTGTCTTGTCACTGGCTCTGGACAGGTGCTGCCATGTAAGTGACAGGAGAAGTGGCTTCAGGAGAAATGCAGGACAGGGCATGATGTCCTGCCTGGACCAGTTGCTGTGCTCACAGCCACAGGTGATCCTGTCTGCAGAGTGACAAGGAATCACCACAGATAGCACCTGCATAGGGTGGCTTCCTGGGACAACATCCCATGTTACAGTTCAGGATATGTTGGTTTTATGCATAGCAATATTAATCTCAAATCTGGACCCAGGTTTCTATAGCACTCAGCTCTTCCCACTGTTAAGTCTCCAGCTTGGCACTTCACTTCTCTGTTTTGTGACAAAGCAGCCACCAGCTGTGGTACTACACAGAGTTGTGACCACAGGTAACTGCCATAAGATGAAGGAGCAGATAAATATATTCATGTATAGATTCTACTTCACCATGTAAATTCCCTTGGTTTAAAAAAGAGCAACGACATGACAGGCCCCTGCAGTGATGCCTTCATGCCATCAAAAGGGAACTGATAGAGGAACAAAGAGATATGGCGGAATTTCACTTTTTTAATGGGTGGTTTAGATGCACTATTTGGCCCTGAAGGACTTTAGCTATCAAAGCATTCGGTACTAGAGGGGACATGGTCCTGCAGCAGCTCAGAGCATTGCTCAGTTGGTGGGTGATGACACCCTGTCTGGCACCTTGCCTGGGATTCACATGAAAATATATGATATTCTGTGACCAAACGAGTTCACATCAGGGATTCTTCTGTCCAAGAAATCTCCCATATTATTTCTGTCAGAGAATTCATCTCTTCTCCTGCT